GACATATCGAGACTCCCACGGACACGCAGAGATCCCCCCTCAACTCCCTCCCCTCTCTCCAGGGACACACAGAGCCCCTCCCCATCTGTAAGTACACACCCCCGCACAGGGCGCCTCCCCTCACAGGGATGATGTCATACGACCCCCCCGGGACTGGGAACCAGGGTCTCCAGGGAAACACCGTGGCCAGGGTGGGATTTCAAAGCCCACGTGTTCATAGAATCATAGAATGGGTTGGGTTGGAAGGGACCACAAAGATCATCGAGTTCCAACCCCCCTGCCATGGGCAGGGACACCTCCCACTAGACCAGGTTGCCCAAAGCCCCATCCAGCCTGGCCTTGAACACCTCCAGGGACGGGGCATCCATGACCTCCCTGGGCAACCTGTTCCAGTGTCTCACCACCCTCACTGTAAAGAATTTATTTCTGGTATCTAATCTAAATCTCCCCTCTTTCAGTCTGAAACCATTAGCCCTTGTCCTGTCACTACACTTCCTGACAAAGAGTCCCTCTCCGGCTCTCCTGTAGCTCCCTTCAGATACTGAAAGGCTGCTGTAAGTTGTCCCCGGAGCCTTCTCTTCTCCAGAACAACCCCAACTCTCTCAGCCTGTCCTCATAGGAGAGGTGCTGCAGCCCTCTGATCATCTTTGTGGCCCTCCGCTGGACCCGTTCCAGCAGATCCATGTCCTTCCTGTGTTGAGGACTCCAAAGATGGACACAGGACTCCAGGTGGGGTCTCACGAGCGCAGAGTAGAGGGGCAGAATCACCTCCCGTGACCTGCTGGCCACACTTCTCTTGATGCAGCACTGGTCCCAGTACAGACCCCTGAGGAACACCACTCGTCACTGGCCACCAATTGGACATTGAGCCATTGACCACAACCCTTTGGGTGTGGCCAGCCAGCCAGCTCCTTGTCCACCGAGTGGTCCATCCATCAAATCCATTACTTTCTAATCTTGAGACCAGGATGTCATGCGGGACAGTGTCTAACGCTTTGCATAAGTAGACAGGTAGACAACATCTGTTGCTCTGCCCTTGTCCACCAAGCATGTGGCATTATCATAAAAGGCCACCAAATTTGTCAGGCACGAATTGCCCTTGGTGAAGCCTTGTTGGCTGTCTCCAATCACCTCCTTATTTATGTTCGCTGCCCTTCCCCTCTTTCCCTCCATGCCAAATCTGGGTGCTGTCAGGGACACCCCCAGAACCCCTCACTCTGTGCCAGGGGCTGGGGAGGGGGCTCACAACCCACCCCAGGTGGGTCTCTGGAGACATAGAGGACAGTGGAAAGTGCAGATGAGCTCCATGGCTGGGCTGTCCCCTGGGTAGGTGTCCCTTGGCCACCCCTTGCCCTGGCTCCAGCCCAGCCAGCCCTGTGCCCCTCAAACAGCCCCGAAAGGTGAGTCCCCACGGTGGCCAGTCCAGGACTGGGGACCTGCAGGACTGTCCGACGGGGGGGTGTCCCCCCTTGTCCCTAAGCGCCTGGGCACCCAGTTCCTGGGCTTCGAGAGGGCTCTGGTGTTGCAGGGTGGGCCTGGCTGTGCTGGCCCCGGGGTGCGGGCAGTGTGCCATGGCGGTGCTGCTCTCTAATGGCCATGAGGAGGACACAGCTCTGTGTCACACCAAACAGGTCACAGAGGAATGTGGGGCATCTCTCCCTCCCCGTGGGCGTGGGAGCTGGCAGAGGTGGCCTCAAAGCCACGGCCTCCTGTGAGCCTGGGGCAGCGGCGTTACCAGAGGCCCTCAGAAGCAGATCCCACCGCCCTTCCCCTGCCCCACACCGCACACGGGGTGACTGCGTGCACATCCCTTGCTCTGTGCCTCAGTTTCCCCACTCTGCTCCACCTCTGTTTCCCCAGGGCAGCCCAGGGCTCTGCTCGCTGATGCTCGACCTGCTCCTGAATGTGCCGAGGGTTTTGCATGAGTAGTCCCAGCCAAACAGCCCTCTGCTTCACCACATATACCTTGAGTAGGGGATTAACCCACCCTCTATTTTTTTTTTTTTTTTTCTGCAGGAAAGCTGAGCAAACCTGCCTGTGGGGAGGGAGGAAACGACTCGGATCTGTTTGCTGTTTTCTCAGGTTTCCAGTTTTTGCAGAGGAACTGTGTGGAAACCCACTGCCCGGCAGCAAACGTGCTCCATGAGCAGGCAGGGAGGCTTCTGCCCCTTGCGGGGAAAGCTGCCCGTTTCCACCAGGGCCCCAGGGCTCCCCGGTGCACGGGCAACGTCACGGGGCAATGCTGGTTTTCCGACGGAGGCCCCAGGAGCAGAGCTGAGTCAGCGTCTGGAGGCAACGCGGGGGTGGAGGCACCCAGGGGTGCAGGAAGGCCCAGGGGACCTGCCTGGGGGGTGGTGGGACAACCTGCATGGGGCTTGCCCCGGGGTCCCCCACAGAGGCACAACAGGGACCAGCAAGGGCCGAGAGCTGCCGCCTCTGCTCCTGTTCCCCACTCACTCCATGCGAGTTCTTGGGCTGGAACTGGGGGCACAGATGGACCCCATAGTCCATATCCCACCAGGGCTGCAGTATCTCCTCTCCAAGAAGAATGGAGCCCGGGAGCAGTCCCCCCTCCACCTGCAGCTTGGGTCTGCGGTGATGCAGAGCTTTGCAGAGAGGGGTTTTCCCATCACCGAGCTGGGGCGGTGGGAGGAAGCGTGGTTTAACATCAATAACTTGCTCGGCCTGGGGAAGGGGAGGCTCTGGGGTGATCTCCTGTCTGCCTGCAGCTATTTAGATGGAGTTACAGGAAAAGAGAGCCAGGCTTTTTGGGGAGGTGTACAGCAAAACAAGGACAGGCACCCGATGCACGTTGCATCAAGGGAAATTCCGTCTAGACACTAGGAAACTTTATTTTTTCCCCTGTGTGCATGGTAAAATAGTGCAGGAGACCAGAGAGGCTGTGGGATCTCCATCCCCCGCGAAACTCAGACCTGGCCTGGCTCCAGCCTTGTGCTCCCTGAGATCCCCCACCCTCACAGACGAACTCCCTGGGATTGGGGTAACGACCCTGACCCCCCCGCCTTGGGAGCGGGGTTTTCCCCTCCCTCTTCACTCTCACCCAGAGAGCTCCTGCAAAGCACGGGGCTGCAGCCACCAAGGAGGAGGAAGGAGGGAGAGGGTGGCTGGTCCCTCAGCTGAGCCAGGGGAGGAAGCACCAGTACCAGCACAGGCCATTCTGCCCCAGGGGCTGGCTGGGCATGTGCAGAGAGGAAGCTGCAAATCTGGGTAAAACTGCCTGGAGGGAGAGATAAAAGCACTCAGATCCCTCCGAATTAAGGAAGCACTTGGATCTCAGACGGTGTGTAAAATGCCAGTGCTGGAAGTTGGGGGCAGGATCCAGCCCATGGAGGCTCAGGAAGTCCTCTGAAATCTCCTGCAATGGGGGCTCTTGGCTCAGCTGCTGCCCCACAGAGAGAGGGGAGCCGGGGAGGCTTTACACCAAGCAGGGTGTTCGCGAGCTCCAGCCCATGGGTGCCAGCTCAGGGCTGTGTGTCCATGTCCAGGACACTCCAGGAGGCAACTCTCACCCCCTGGGCCGGTGAGCTGCCGGCACCTCCCTTCCGCAAAAGCCCAAACGGCCGTTTCCTGCGTCCCACCCCAGCAGCCAGGGCTCGGCCAGCCCCGTTTCCCTCCCCGCTCCATCCCATCCCAGTTCTCCACCAGAAGTCCCTGGTGCAAGATTCATTGCTGCAGCATTTGCTGCACGGTGTGAGGTGCTGGCACCCCAAACCCCCTGCTCACGAAGCAATGCCCATAGCAAGATGGGTACCCCACAATGCCGGGGTTTGTGGGTCTGGGAGAGACCCAAGCAGGGCGCGTGGGATGTGGGTGATGGGTCTGTGCCAAGGAGAGCTGCTGCTCTCCCACCTGGGGCTGGGGTGTCCCTGAGCTGAGACGTGAGGACAGCACTCAAGGAGCCAGTTTTGAGCCACCAGCAAGGGATGAAAGCAAGGGAAGAAACTCTTGAACCTGATGCCTTCACCCTGAGCCAGGGTGAAAGGTGGCCACCAGAGCCACCAGAGCCACTGCGGTCACCCCACGGGGCTCCAGCACCACAGCACCGCACACGTGCTCAGGTCAGGTCCCATCTCACCCACCTCCTACCAGTACTGAAGCAAAGTGCTGTTGGTGTCACACCATGTGCCTCGGTTTACCCAGTTCACAATGTGGTGAGCACACAAGCACTTTCAGGGTGTGAAAACACAGCTCCTCTCTCCAGTGCTGCCTTTTTTGTGGGCTGTAGTGCTCATGTCTGACCCTGCTCCTCCTTCCCTGCCCAGATTTGTGTGGGATGGAAAGATGGAGAGAGAACCTGGGCCCTTTGGTCCCCATCCTACAAGCATGCTCATCCTGCATCCTCTCCCCAGTGGGGCTGGGAGTCCCACTGGGCACAGAGGTGGGGACTAGCCAGGCAGAGCTCTCTCCCGTTCCTGGAGGGAGGGGAACTCAGAAGAGTCTAAGAGTCCAGCCTGGCCACTCCCCAGGGGCTTGGGGGGCTGATGCTGGAGTATGGAGGGGGCTGGAGGGATGTTTGTTTTATCATAGAATCACAGCATGGTTAGAGTTGGAAGGGACCTTAAAGATCATCGAGTTCCAACCCCCCTGCCCTGGGCAGGGACACCTCCCACCAGAGCAGGTTGCTCCAAGCCCCATCCAGCCTGGCCTTGAACACCTCCAGGGATGGGGCATCCACAGCTTCCCTGGGGAACCTGTCCCAGTGCTTCACCACCCTCATAGTAAAGAATTTCTTCCTAATATCTAATCTAAATATCCCCTCTTCCAATTTAAAACCATCACCCCCTGTCCTGTCACTTGTAGGGGGCCAGAGCGGGGTGAAGATTGGGGAAAGTTGGGAGGGTGTTGGTTCTGGAGGATGGAGAGGGGAGGTATGGGGAAAGG